CTCTTTACATTTGCTATTTGTGACCATTCAAATTGAAATTTCAGTTTAATTGTGTTAAATATTGCAACTCCATTGGGCATACTGGTTTGGTCTTGGTTTGATTCCAGTTTAGACTTGATGTATGATGTAGTCCTCTTCTAGTCCTGGTCTAGTCCTGGTCTAGTCCTGGTTTAATCCTGGTTTAGTCCTGGTTTAGTCCTGGTTTAGTCCTGGTCTAGTCCTGGTCTAGTCCTGGTCTAGTCCTGGTGTAGTCCAGGTTTATATCTGGGTCTCAATTTAGTCTCAGTGAACACATCCTTAGTTTAGTTCTCATCTTATCCTGGTTTAACCCTGATCTAGTCCTGGTTTAGTCCTGATCTAGCCCTGGTTTAGTTCTGACCTAATCCTGATCTAGTCCTGGATTACTTCTGATCTAGCCCTGGTTTAGTCCTGATGTAGCCCTGGTTTAGTCCTGATCTAGTTCTGGTTTAGTCTTGATCTCGCTCTGGAATTAGCTCCAGGTTTAGTCCCAGTTGGTCCCAGATCGGGCCTGTGGTGAGCAAACAGTGTTGGGGCTCTGGGAGGTTCTTAAGCTGCACATTGAGCCTCTTGAATGCCTCTGGAGTGAGTGTGTTGGAGGTGGTTATTGGAAACCTTGGTTGCAGCCTGAGCTTGTTTATTCTGTCCTCCCTTTTCTTGTGGAGGCCTCGCAGCGACAATGAAGATCAGCCCACACAGCCCTGACGAGGGAACACAGCGTCTGATATGAGAAAATGCTCCTAATGAGGAAGTGATGACATGTGGTTGGAATAAAGGTCATGTAAGTTTAATAGTTTAGGGTAAAGAGGGGTATTATTGCACTTCTGGGGTATTAATTGCTAACACATTACATAATTAGAGCACCATGTTGGCTTTTATTGATTTGAAAAAATATATTCGCCAAAAACAACATTTTTGCATGTTTTATAAGCGTCACACCCCCTGTCAGAGAGCTATCACATTACAATCAGCCTGCATCCCACAAATTATACTACTACACATCGTATCTAGTTTGTGAAGTTGTGTTGTAAAGTTTCATATCATGTTTTTTATATTATATTATTTTATATGGAGAATTGCCTTGTGGGAACATGGGTGACGTGGCTTGTGGGCTGAGTGTTGGATCGTAAGGTCTTACAGCTAACCATAAAGAGGGTTTAAAGAGGGCCCAGGACAAATCACATGCATGGATGCCATATAAAACCCCTTCAGGCATGTTTTTGATCAACATGACAATGAATATACAACATGACTGAATATGAGGTCTTTTTATTGCTCAAAAATACTTTGAACAACATTCAATTTATACTATGTGCGGGCTCGCCTCTCCACAGATCTGTCCTGTAACTTGGCTAAGTCACTTGCAAAGACTGATCAGTTTAATGTCGTATAATGTGGAATCTTCCAGACAAAGCAATTAGGTCTCCATGGAGACAAGCAGGTAGGGGACCCTTCACCAGAAAATGTACATACTACATCTTTAACACCAAAAATATAATGTAATAAGTAAAAGCATGTTTGAGATAAAGTGAGTGAATAAATCCAGTCACTGTTTGCCCTTTCTCTGCAGATATAAGACTAAAACAATATCTCCTCAGAGCATTTCCTGGGAACTTAGCTCAATGACTTCAAAATAAAGGTTAGTTTTGGTTTAACTTTCACACAAAAACATGTTGAGCTGAACTGCAGCCTAAAAGAGCACATTCATTCATTAAGATCTGGTTTAAAGGAATGTCACGTAGTCAGGCAGAAGCAAGTGAGTATAAATAAAAGAAAGAGAACATGATTCAAAGTATGGCTATATGTTAGCAATATTAGCTGCTAATATAAAAATCACAGAAAACCCAGTGTTTTATTTTGTTCTATGTGTTCTACATTCACCTGACCACACTTTGACAAAAGACAAGTGCATCTGGAGCTTTGTCCAGTTTCCCGGATTAACCAATCAGAGACACATGCACCATTCGCATCAAAAACAAACTGCGTGGATTTTTTTATCTCAGGAAAAAAAAGTTTTATATTTTGCTCTGAATGTTCGGAAAATTTTGGAGAGGAGATGTCTTCTGCATTTGAGACTCAAGTGTTAAAAGATCCTTAAATGCAAAACTGACTCTTGTCAGTTTTTAGCTGTTAGAATGTTATTACCGCATCAAAAACATACCTGGGGTTGTGTTTTGTTTCATTCACACATGTCTGAGTAATCCTTCAATATCAGTCTGTCTATATTTCCAAAACTCAAAGTGCACTGTTCCATCTTGTGACGTCAAGCAGTAGTTTTCAAGTTAACAACTATCTTTTACTTTTAATTACTAGAGATGAAAGTGTACGGAGTGTAAAAGCACAGTGGAGCACTTACTATATTACCACATGACATCACAAAGTGGAAGTGAGCATTTTGAGCTTTGGAGATGTTTGTGACATTAAGTATTTTCTGTTTGAGAGAAGAACACAGCCTAAGGGTTTGTGTGTTAAACATGTGTGAATGAAACAAAACACAATTCTGAGTATGTTTTTGATGAGGAAACGACATTATAACATAGATCAGAAAATGGAGTAATACTGGAAAATGCCATTTCATTTTAAATGATTTATTCAGCAACATATATACTATTCAATTCAAGTGGTCTACAGTCATTACTGTCAGTAAATTATTTGGTTTGGTTTTGGTGGAGAGTTCAAACTTTGGAGTATGAAAAATACTTTAAAAATTTTAATTAAAAAAAAAAAGTGATTGTTCAGATGTTAAAAATGTTGCTAGCTGTTGCCATATTACTCCACCTTACAGAATACTGGACAAATTGGATCCCTCCAGAGCCTGACTGCACATGTAAGTCCCTGTTGTTCTCTAATCACTCCCTGACACCACAAAAACAGCGTGAGTGTGACAGGCGCCGTGTCCTTTTGCTCGACCTATGAGTGCACAGGGCAGGTGTGAAAGGAGCTGCCGGAGATCGGGTAACCTTTTGACAACTCGCTCAACAAAAACACGCCCTCCCAGTTATTATTGGGTCAACAAAGTCAGAGGAAGTGTTTGGGATTAGAGCAGAGAGAGGAACATGAGAGAGAGACGTCTAAGAAAGAGGTGCCGCACTGAAGCTCTCCATAGTGAGCACAGGCCCGGGGTCATGGGCTAAACGCATTGAAACGCTTGGGTTAATTTAGAGCTCAAAATGTGTCCGGGTTTGAATGAACTATTGAGCCCTGGCTAAGTTCTACCATTAGGGCTCCTGGGCTGATGGATTAGAGAGAACTTTCATATCCACTGAACTATTTCATTTATTTATTCATTTTTGACAGTTGAAGGCACTTTGTAAAGTTGATACTAATTCCCACATATGTATTCTAGTCTGCTTTTAAGAAGCTTGCTCATTATAGTTCATTCAAATTAACTTGAATTAACCAATAATGCTGTGTTTTGTGTAGTGCTTGGTTCTACCATTAGGGCTCCTTCAGTTTAAAGGAGAAACATTCATATACAATGAGCTGTTTTTCTACAATTATTTTTAGTACATATATTTTATTGCCTGATTTTTGGTAACATTTCTTCTTAAATGTCTTGTGTTCTAAATGTGAGGAACATTCGAGAGAAACTAGAAACAATGGTTTTGTACATATACCTTATGTTATATCCTGTATGCTAATCTGCTTTTAAGTAGTAAGTTGAATTGTTTTTGTTTACAGTTGAAACCTATTGCTTTATAGCTAATACTAGTATGTTTATCCATGTCCCATTTGATTTGCTCTTTGTTATTAAGATTGTTCATACATTGTAATTTGGGAGCATTACTTGGGAGCTTCAGTGTCCTAGAAATTTCTCTTGTGGAATAATACACTTTTTCTCAGTGAGGCATGTCCTAACTATGGCCTGGGGGCTAAATGCGGCCCACAGACCAATCTTTCTGGGCCCTCAGGCTTATTGGTGAACTGGCCTACATTACCATAAGATGCGCTTTTTGCTGCATATTAAAATCAAGCTGAGTGCTCGATATACCTTTTTTGAAATATTATCTATTGACAACATGCTACGGTTTGATCAGCCCTCAATTTTGTCAATTTAAAAGTTAAAAAGATGATAAATGCTCTGTTAAATAAAAAATAAATAAAAAAAACTCTATTAAAAAGTAATAAAACAATATGGTCAAGGCCGAGACAATTTACAAAACCGAACTAATAAACATAAATCATGATTGAAACGAGCCGCCCTGGTCACATGTCTTTGGTGTTGTGTCGATGTGAGTCAAAATGAAGTCAGAGTTGGTGCATGTGGTGAGCCTGTGTGTCCATGTGATCCCTGCAGCCCTCTGTGCAGCAGCAGTGAGGGGGTTAACTCTGCTCTGGCCTGGGGTCATGGGGGAAACATGCGCCAGGAATTTGTGTGCATGTGTGTGAGTGTGTGTGAGTGTGTGTGTGTGAGTGTGTGTGTATGCTTGTCCGGAGCTCTCTCCCTTCCCTCTTCCCTCTCTCTCTTCCTTTCTTTCTTTCTTTCTCCCCCCTCTAGCTCCCTTTCTCTCTCTTCCCCGCTCTCTCCTTCCGCCTCTTTTTATCTTTCGCTCTCCACCTCTTTCTCTATCTCTCTCTACCCCTCCCTCTCTTCCTGCTCTTTCCCTCTTTCATTCACTCTCTCGCTCTTTCCCTCTTTCTATTCGTCTCTACTTCACCCTCTTTCACCTTAGTCCTCCCCTCTGTTCTCTCCCCCTCTCTCTTCCACTTACCCTCACCCTTCTTCTCCCTCCCCTCTCTCCTCTTCTCCCTCCCCTCTCTCCTCTTCTCTACCTCTCTCTCCTTCCTCCCCTCTCTCTCTTTCCCTCTCTGTAACTGCCTCCCCCCTGCTCTCTCGTTTTCTTTCTCTACCACCCCTCCTCTCTTTCTCCCTCGCTCTCTCGCTCTCTCTCCCTCCCTCTCCCTCTCTCTCTCTCGCTCTCTCTCTGTGCTCTTTGACTCTGCTGTCCTTATAAGGCATCCAGCGCCATGGCAACGGCCGGGCTTGAATAGCAGTGTCAAATCCCTTCGCACTCCGCCACACGTTCACTCTCTCTAAAGGACACAGCGCAGGCAGAGGCAGACCCAGAGCTGCCCGAGGAGAGGACCCCGGCTCCACACGTCCAGCACTCGGAATTTCACTAGATTTCTTTCGACTTATTCATAACCGAAGACAGGAAAGGGGTCTGCTGACTAGCTAGGCGGGAATGCAAAAGAAAGTCTATCATGGGTTGGTAATACCGGACCTAGCTGACCAGAAAAGCGCATAGGACAACACTGCTGAACCGCTGTGGTGGGAGATTTCACAACTTGTGTTTGAGATTGTTTTGTTTTGGTTCGCACTGACATTTGAGCCAAGGACAGCTGGTGAAGACTACAAAACAGCTTTATTTCCACTGAGGACGAAGGACTTTGAAGAACTTTCTGAAATTGCAATTCATTTGGGGATTTTAAGGTCAACCAAAACAAGCGTGCATCTGTGCTATAGCTGAACGGAGTCTCCAGATTTCCTGAATAGACATTTTGGACATTTTATTGCCAGTTCTCGTCACTTTTGCCATTTAAACAGAACAGAGTCAATAGTGTGTCTGGATAGAATGCTTTAGATGTGTAGATAACAGCAAACTGGTTCAACTAGTTTTAAGTCGGAGAAAGAGCGAGAGAGAGAGGAGGGCAGGGCTTTTTAACCTCGTCCGCAGGGAAGTTGAAGGTTTTTTTTTGTATGTTTTGTGTCTTTTTGGGGAGAAAGCTGTTGAGGAGATATTGAGAAGCGCTTGGTGACACTACACAGAATAGGTGAGGTCTATTACTTGTAAAGACAGAAAAAAACGAGGGGGGCGAGAAAGTGTTCTAATTTATTGTTTCCTGTGCAAAGGAGGCTGCAACCTTTCCTCTCTTTTCTAGCTTGAACTCTGCTCTGCTCAATGTTAAGTTTTCACGCAGTTCGATAGCCAATGAGCAGAGGTCAGGGCTACAAAACACAGGCGTGAATAGGCTGGGGAGCGAAGAGGGGATTATACAAAAGCACTAGAGTGGACCTAGGTCAGAAAAAACACACGGCCAGAGGGGAGAGGTCACTCACAAGGACTGCAAGACAACTATTTTATCTTTACCAACAGAAACCTGCTTGGAAAACCAGTATTTTTTCATCAGTTGGTATGATTTTATTCTTCTGACATTTGCAAAAAAATAAATAAAAATCATTATAGAAGTATAACAAATTTTTACCAACTTGAGAAGAAGAGGTCAAGCAAACACGACTACAAGACTACTTCCATTTTTTTTTTAATGGACAGATATCTGCTTGGACAACCAGTCTTTTTGAATTGATAAGTACTTCTGATAATTGCAAAAAAGTCAGTATTGAAGAAAGTATTGAAGATTTCTACCAACTTGAAAAGAAGAGGTCACTTGAACTATAAAACTATATATTTTTGGACAAAGCCTGCTTGGAAAACCAGTCTTTTTGTGTATGATTTTGATTTTGAGAGCTGAAAGACAATATACAAGAAAAAACAACTTTTTTAACAAATTTTTGTTTTGTTTTTTTGACAATATTTTGAAGCCAGCCGTGCCTCACATAATTTCTAAACATTTATGGAAACAGTTTTGACACTACCCTAAAAGACTGCATGCTTCTAATACTTGAAAGTTATTAGTAGTAATAATTATAGGGTCGTGCGGGGGCTTGAGTATGGCCATGGTGAGCGGGGGATGGGGTAACCCTAATGGGGACACAAACGGACTTGGGGAGAAGTACCTGAGGAGGGAGGAAGAGGATGGCTCACCTCAGGCCGGCAGCAGCGATGTGGATGTGGCCGATGAAGATAAGGCCTGCGTGGTGGACTGCGTGGTGTGTGGAGACAAGTCCAGTGGAAAACATTATGGAGTCTTCACATGTGAGGGCTGCAAGAGCTTCTTCAAACGCAGCGTAAGGAGAAACCTCAACTACTCCTGCAGGTAAGAGTCAGAAACATGGAATTAAATGTGCACTGTGTAACTTTTTCAGGTGGAGGGTCCATCACCTGCTTGTTTCTATGGATATGTCATTGCTCTGTCTGGAATGTTCCACAATGTGATGTTAAACAACTCTACCCTACATTTATTCAGTTACAGATGGTTTTATAGCTCTGCCTCTCCACAGATCTGACCTGTAACTTGGTCTCCATGAAGATAGAAAGGTTTAATGCCATACTGTGAAACATTCCAGAGCAATAACATCTCCATGGAGAAAAGCATTTGAAATACCCTACACCAGAAAAGTTACACAGTGCACCTTTAACCTCAGGAATAAGGAAAGTCGCAATGTAAAATTTGGTGTCAATTTGTAATAACTACGCCATAATAAGCCTTAATAAAGCAAGAACAAAGACTTAATTCTCCTAACCTCTTAATTAACAGAGTAATTAACAGAACTGAATCGTTCTGAATACATTATTTGAATTACGCCTTATAGGTGCTTTTTTAAGGTTGTAAGAGTGTAGTTTTTTTAAGAGGTTAGTCACAAGATGACATTTTCAATCACATTTTTTACTAAATAACTAGACCGTAGCCTTAATAAAACACAATGAAGACTGAATGTATAATGAACAACTATGAACAACTAGTAACTATTTCATTTTTAACTACTTCAGTTCAAGGTTAGGGCTACGAGATAGAGTATTGAGGTATTTATTAGGTTCCACAGTATGGTATGAAAATTGTATATCTCCATGGAGACTTTTTTTTTAAAATTTTGATCAATAAAAACACCTGTATTTGAATAAATGCAAAATTGAAAGTTGTGGAGCATTCGTGACAAAGCAATAACACCAAGCACATGGCGGGCCTCCCACCAAAAAGTGAATGACCAAATAGTGCATCTTTAAACTGCCATTAATCAGGCAATATCCCTCTAAATCTTTGCATAGGGTTAGCAAAGTGCACTCACTTTTGACCCCTAGTGGTTGGATTATGTAAAAGTCCTTCTTGTTGACTCAACTTTTGCCCCTAGACTTGGAAGTTGTTAACCTTTGAAGCTTAGAAAAAAAAAAAAAAAAAAGACTTCACAGACTTCACAGAAATGTAAAATTGATTACCCGTCAGAGCCCAAAAGTGGGTCACAAAACAGTTGAATGAAGTTTAAATTTTCTGTTTTGGTTTTAAATAGTTTAATTTAGATCCAATCCTATAATCAGGTAAGTTGACACTACTGAAACATTTACAGAAGCTATCTTGTATTATGTGATTTGTCCAATTTTGCTCCAACAACTATTTATTTGGGCAAGTTTTCCAAGATATATACATCAATTTTGGACTGCCACTGTGTTTTAATTAACTTGACATTACCAACCAATTTATGTTGTAACAGTCTATTTCTCTGTCAATAGTACTAACGTAATGAATTTGGTTGATATCTATGATGAAACGTAATACATACTTTAAAAACTTACAGATTATTTATTCTTAAAAGTAAGATAGACCTACTTTTTAGTAACATCACTCAGAGTGAGATCATACTGGAACAACACATCAAAATTGGAGCTAAACTGGAACTTAACTCGGACTAAACCTGGACTAGAACAGGACCAAACCATGTCTACACCAGGACAAAACTGGGATCAAGCCAGGACCAGTACTATAGTGTACAATGATTAAGTCACAAGCATCAGTAAAGAGAGAATATTCAGAATACAAAACATCTGTCTGCATGTATGAAATTTAAACATAAAATTAAATTATGAATGAAATCCAATAAAACAATACATTAAACATTCACCTCACTGTTTTAATAGGAGCTATAAGTTATTTCAATGCAGTTCTAGAGTTAGTGTTTTTCATTTTTAAGTTAGGGTTAGAAATGAGGATTATGGTATTTCTAACTAGCAGTAAGTAAGCTTTTGTTAAGTATGAATTAAGTCTTTCTTAATATTTTATTAAGGCTACTAAAAGCACAGCCATTATAAAGTGTTGCCAACATATTTTTCCTACCTCTCATATTGTTTGAGTTCAGTATTTACACATAATGGAAACAGAGTAGGTTTAGTCCATTCTCTGTGCAAAATGATATGTTACAACCTTGGGTATATCTGGCAAACAGCTATGTGAGAAAAACAGAACGCTGTGAAGGTCAGTCATGTGATTGGTTTAGAAGGTCAACGTTGCTATTATTCTTAACCGTAGAACACAATGTGGTGAGTCCATTCCACCCACGCCTGCCACATATATGCAAGGTAGGGTTGTTAAAAGTATCCAAAATCGATACTGAAACTAGTATCGAAAGTAGATCCTCATTTGGGCAGGTATCGATCCTAAAAAGTGACATTCACAGGACAGAAATGAACCTGTAATGAATAGCTTTAGAATGATCTTGAGCTGTAACAGAAGCATAAGAGCACATAGACTAGTATACGCCAATGCACCACTACTTTCTACATTTTAGATACATACTGAAGACATCAAATGCATGAAGCAAGATATATGGAATTATGTAGTAAAGAAAAAAAGGTAAACAACTTTCAACAAAGCAAAGGATGGCTACTGTGAGGAACTGAATATAAAATATTTTAAAAAGTGAAAGAATTATTTCCCTTTTTTTCTTTGCTACATAATGACATATATCCTACTTCTAACTATGAGGAGATGGGGAGTAAAAAAGTTTGACTGGTAGCACATGGAAAGCCATAATTTAATTCTGAAAATCACATTCTATTGTCTAAATAAAGAATGTTTTTTATTGAAATTTGTAGTTTTCAGATTCTAGAATGTGATGATGTCATACTCGCAGATGGGGGGCAAGAGTCAGCTTTTCCTGGCTCTTCTACTTTGCCATGAAATATCCAAAAGGTACACACACAAATGTTGGACCTGACAAGACCCAAAACTCACTCCATTACAACAAGAATCTGCATTTTAACAATATTAATTTTAGCTGCCCCCATCTGTATTAAATAATATTGGGCAGTACAATGTTGTGATGTCATCTGAAAACCAAAATCACAATTTTAAGACTAACACAAGACAAAATTTATTTTGGTTCAAAGTCGAAAATCCTGAATAGACCTTGTACCTTCTACTTGTTTGTCACCTTCAGGGCGAGTGTAGGAGGTTTTGAAAGACCGGCCGTAAAAAGGGCGTGAATGACTGATGATTTACAAAGGGCACAGCCTTGGCAGCTTGTAGGGTTCACTCAGCATACAGGGGTCAAAGGAGCTTCTGGGGAGAACAGAAATAGACTATAAATCAGACATATATATGAATGACAAAGTAGTAAAATAGGTTAAGGTTGGATTTCAAAGGTGCATTTTAAAAAAACAAAACATTTTTAACAATTATAGATACTTATTAGTAACAAATGAGTGAGGAAAGGCATGAGAAATATGTAAAAATAAAGGTTGGGAAATATATGATGGAAAAAAGGTAAACATTTTTTGTATTTTTTTTTATCACAAAGAAATTAAAATTGTCAATTAAATTTAGTTTCATTAATGTAAACAAAGCAGGTATTTAATTAAAAAATATAGTCACATTTCTTTCAAAGTCTGAACTCAGCTCCAAACCAAATGCTTAATTGACTGACAAAGAACTGAGTCCATTACAAAGATTGGCTCTACTTTTGATTGAAATATGTAATTCGAGAGGTTTATGTAAAACAAATGTAAAATGATAGAATTCATTGTGTTTACAGTGATTCAGTGGGTGAGTCATTGCCGATAAACCAGAACATGGTCGTTTCAACTCTTGCTCAAGCTAAAAATGTTGTGTACTTTGGCAACATACAATCTCACCACTGGATCTTACTGACACTGGCAACCCCAAATGACCCATACTAGTAACGGGCTACACACTAAATATTGTTAATATTCCATCTCAGTGAACTCTATGTGTCACTTCTTATCTTATTGTATTGTTTATTTAATTCACAGATCAAACAGAGAATGCCAAATAGACCAACATCACCGCAACCAGTGCCAATACTGTCGACTGAAAAAGTGTTTCAGAGTGGGCATGCGCAAAGAAGGTAAGAATAATAAATACATATGGAACTTAAATGACAAGTTTGCGTTTTGTTTTTTGTCAAAATGCATGTATAGGTTGACCAGAAGTCCTTATTTACCTGGGACAGTCCTACTGTTGAGCCCTGCGTCCCTTGTCCCAGCAGATTTATACAAAACCAGTGGTTTGTCCAGTTTTAGACAAGAAATGTCCCTATTTTTGACCTATTTTGATCTATACCAGGACTAAACTAAGACTAAACCAGGATTACATCAGCTAAAACAGGGCAATCACAATTTTTGACTAATCTGATGTCCTCCAACAGTAAAAAAGAGCATAAATTATCATTTGTTTTGTCAAAATACTGAAATCCGTGTTTGGTTTATTTATACCAACCATCCAAACCCAGATATGTCCCAGTTTAGAATTTTGAAAATCACCTATGTATGTAGCCTTAAGATAACAGTAGGCATATAATAATTCTAGTTTTTATTATTAAGGTTATTAATTATTAACTATCTGTTCTTTATTATAATGCATTTATTTGATTGCATTCATCCAGTGTTTTGTCACGGCATACTTACTACATTTCTTCTGTAGTGCTTTATTCTTTATTCACGCTTAGCCTCTGACGAGGATTTACTGACACCGTTATTCGAAACCAAAATAATAACCTATAAAAGAGAACAATAACAACAATTTTAGAGAAAATAGTTGCCTCATGCTGTATCATTATAAAGCTGCAGACATGATGTTGTATAATGGCGTCCTCTGGTGGCTAACTGCTCAGCTAGCCACGTGTTTCTGTCTCGACTAACTTTTTAACTTTTAGAAGATAGAAGCATCTATTTTTGGAAGTCCTGCAGCCTACTGATAAAACAAGTCTGTGTTTAATATTTAACTAGATTTTAAACCCAGTTCATTATTATTTTATATTTGAACTTTTTGCCCGCTTACCTGACATTTCTCCACCGAAAAAAAAAAAAAAATTAGGACGCTATTTCAACCAATCAAGAAAGGGTTTCGCGACAGAAGGCGGGACTAAAATCGATGAGTGACAACTGATTTGACCAATTAGTGAACCTGAATCTCCCGCAAAGTAAATAAGGAATTGTATGGCTAATGTTTAATATCATAGGCTCATTTATTAATTTGTTTTCACGGCGCATATTCGATAATTTAGATCAAAGCACCAAAGTCCAAGTCAAAGAGAAAAGCAACAAGAAAAGGCATGTATTTTGCTAAGAATTTTCAGTAGTATTACATAGGCCTGAAAATACTATAATTTCTCTATTTAGCTCCTAATTTACTGATGGAAAGGCTCATCTCAGCCAATTTGCATTCTTTTTCGATTAATTTATCCACATTTTAAAGACGTACTTTGTAGGGTGATCAGATTTTCAAAATCAATAACTGGGACATCCATGGTTTTAATTAAGGGAAAATGTTATGCACTCAGCACTAATGTGAGTCAGTAGTCACATTTTCTTTCTGTTTTCGTCATTTTTATGCAGCTTTTCTGTATTTTACCTTAACAAATGGCAATTTATGCTGGGACATTTCTTGTATAAAACTGCACTCATGACTAACATGTGAGTCAGTCTAGGGTGACCAAACGTCCGTTTTTCCCCGGACATGTCCGTATTTTGCGTCATGTCCGGGGCGTCCGGGTTTTTTTTTATTTTTTTATAAAGTGATGCAAATGTCCGGGTTTTCAGTACCGTTCATTAAACTGAGCGTCTCTCGTAGCGTCTGTGACTCAGAAGGAGCGAGACACAAACAGTCGGTCAGTCTGCAACATACCGAAGCACAAATGCCCATTTAACAATGACTTGTACAAGAAATTCTCCGTTTTCCATGCCGGTCGGGACCATGTGCGCAGCTTGTGAGGTGAGAGTACAGTGTCCCTCGTTTATTGCGGGAGTTACGTTCTAAATATAACCCGCGATAGGTGAAATCCACGAAGTCGTCTGCTTTATATTTTACAATTATTCTATCTGTGTTAAGGCTGTAAAACCCCTCACCACAAACTTTATACACTTTTCTCAGACAGGACAGGTGCAACCCTTTTTACTTCCTTCTTAAAACTTATTGCTGCTGTCGTCCTTTTGTTATTTTTACTCCTTCTTTATGTAACAAACTGAAGATTCATTTATTCCATAATGGAGCCCAACAACGCAGAGTCCCGCACGGCTCCATTTTTGGAGACCCCAGTACAGGACCGCACCCTCGCAGTACAACAACGTAACCGCGCAGGACAGGACCGCACCTGCCCGTTAACCCGAGATTATATCAAACTTTTGCGCCGCCTACGTCACGGACTGAACCAAGACTAAACCAGGAGGACTAACCCAGGACTGATTCCAGGACTGAAGAGGAGGACTAATCCACGACTGAACTAGTACTAAAACAGGACTAAACCAGACCTGAAACAGGACTCACCGTCAGGACGGGCCTGGAGGTGACCACAGGAGAAAGGACCGGCTCAGCTCCGCACCTCACGGAGTTAAACGCGGCAATTGCCCGATCGTTCTTTGCGGACAAACTGCTCGGCGTTCTCTCTCTTAAGTCCAAGATTAGTCCTGGTTTAGTCCTGGTTTAGTCCTGGCCCACCCGTGTGTACCTGGGACATGTGACAAATCAGTATGGTTTTAAACTTATTTACTTCCGTGTCACTACTAGGCCAAGTTACAGGTCAGTTGTTTTTAACAGATCCATGGTCAGATGGGTGGATAGATTACCTGCTCAGTGTAAGAATATTGTATTTTTGAACAATAACTCTGAATAATTGGAAGAATAGGATGTATGTTTAATGTCACATTGTATAACATTCTCTCTATTGAGACAAGAAAATGGCAGAATCCCAATGGAAGGATTTATGAACAGCAAAAAGGAGAATGCATCGAGTGAGTTTGTAAAAGATGTGTGTGTATCATGAGTAATCTGCATTTTTACATATAAATACACAGTTTTCTATTCTAAGTAGTTGTTTTTGCATGAACTCCTGTGCAGTTGTAGTCCTGTGAGTGCAGTTTAGGTCAGATACATGGTCAGATCATAATAGTTTTGATCATTTTGCCACGCCTCCTTTTAGGTAATTCATCAATCTGCTGGACATGTCTTTAGTCAACCAAGAATCTGTTCTTTAGTCAACCGCAGCCCTACATGAACTATAATCAGTGACCCGTGAACAAAGAGCTGCTAAGTACGGCCATTTTCTTGGAATTTCCAGTCAAATACTTCAGTCATCATCAACCAGAACAGGTTTAGAGCAGTTCTTCTTGTGAGGTGAGGTCAGCTCTGGGGAAAGCGTCCAGGGGCAGTTTAATGAAGATCAGTGAAGCCAAGGCATTTTAACAAGGGTCAAACACAGCACTGTGGAAAAAGGCCGTCATACTTCATTTGAGACGGCATGTTTAAGTAATTCACAAAAACTATACAAAAATAAAGAAAGCTATTGATGTATAATGTTATAATTAGGGGTGTCAAATTATCGCGTTAATTGCGATTAATTAATTACAGTCATATTTAGCGCGTTATGTTTTTTAATCGCGTTAATCTCATTTTTAATCTCTAACTTTAGTGTTTCTGTATGCGAGTTGCTTTATTATAAAACCTGTTTTTATGTGTTGTTGGGACAACAACAACACACACACAAAAAACACATTTATAAATTTTTTTAATTTCGGTAATTCCACTCATTGCCGGAAACCCACACAAAACGCGCGCAGTAACAGCGATGTAAACGTCATGTTAACGTTGGCGGCGTCAGTCACAATGGACGAGGTCGAAGAGCCAGTAGAACAGAGGCAGCAGTGCACAGGTAAAAACACATTCGTGTCTTGGAAATTCTTCTCCCGACGTGAAATATAAAAGAAAATAACAAATATAATATCGCCTACAACTTAAATGTCACTGGTGAAAACAACCTGCATAGGCTCATGTCTGCACTACTGTCCTATACACAAACACACACACAAACACACACCTTCATTATCGTCATTAACCTGAGAACGCGCGGACCACGTTTCCTTCCGTAGACACTGCGCGGACACTGACGTGCTCCCGTGAGCCGCGTGTGGATCGTGTTTTCTCGCGTACGCTGCGTAAACCGCGCTTCCTCCTGTAAACCAGAACTAACACCAAGACTAAAACCAGGACTAAACCAGGACTAAACCAGAACTAAAACCAGAACTAAAACCAGGTCTAAACCAGGACTAAACCAGAACTAACACCAGGACTAAAACCAGGATTAATCCATTCCAGGACTAAACTAGGACTAAAGTAGGACTAAAGCAGGTCTAAACCAGGACTAAAACAAGGACTAAAACCAGTGATCTCATATATAAAGCATTTCTCTATCAATAATATTTTTAATATGGTTAAGGAAAGACTGGACTTTTTATTGTCTTTAAGTAGACAAAAGTTATGTTCAGATTTCCTCGTCTTTACTTTACAGCAAACAGTTTCTAATTCATGGAGACTTGGGCTCAACAGCCAATTTGGAGAGATTTGTTAAACAATAAATGACTTTATAAAGTCACTTTTTTAAATCTATATCAGTCTTTTGATCTGCCACAATAATGTAATAATGAATTTAAATGAAAATACCTCAAATTGAAGGCTTTTCTCAGCAATTTTTAGGTGAGATTAAAATGAGATTAATTAGATTAATTAATTACAGATCATAATTAATTAATCTCTCAATTTTTTTTATCGCATGACAGCACTAGTTATAATCATGTAAACAGTTGTTAGTCTATATGTAGTATTAATAATAGTACTTGAGTTGTACTAAACAAAATGAGTTATTTGAGCATTTCTGTTTCTTACATTGCTTCTTTTTCAAGTTTGTTTTTCAAATTGTTGTCGTCTATAACTGTGCAATCCCTCATTCGTGCAGGTACGATCGAAAGCGATACAGAAATGAAATTCTGGCAACTGGACCACCAAACGTTTTACTCTAAAACGTTTGCCCAGTTAACAGAATTGAATTTTCCTTTTGTCTATAACCTTTAGAGACCT